TGCGCTCTCAAGCATCATGAATTATTATGTAATAGTTATTTGGGTGGATAGTTGGATATACCTACTCGATGATTATCAGTGATATGAAGTCCATAGTGATGAAGATAATGTTTTGACAAGTTATAATTATGTGATTTTCACTTCCAAGTGCAAGCAAAAGTATTTCGGCTGTCATATCACAGAACTTCGTCATTGGGGAAATGTACCTATGATAGCCACCACCTGCATTTCCACAAGGATTTCTTGATTCAATACGGAACAACATTGATTCATTTTTTTTTATTGGATGTATGATAAATTGATGTTCATCATACAGGACGTGGAGATAAATTCTGAATTGAACAAACCTAATCACGAATCTGCGATTGAAGTCTACAAAAGAATTTCTTTTCACGTCCAGTATGAATCAATTTATCATACATTCAAAAACAGATGCTCAGATCACAGTGGTAACGTCAACAAATTATAATTCTCAGATGTCAGTTCGTTATAGTTTTAGTTATTTTATAGAGGGATATGGAAATTGTGAAATCATGAAGAATGGCTGAGAGAATTACTCGACTTCAGGTGACTGATGAGGATTTGATATCCGAAATGAGTTTTACTCGAGTGGAGTCATATAACCTGTTTGTGAGAGATATAATTTCCATATCACTGATACGGATAATTTTTTCGGAAGATCGAATTGCTCATCAAGATCAGAGTTCATACAGATTTACTTCTCCTATACATTTCAATTTCCATTTCAATACTGAACATATTGGTAAGTTATATTTTTATTATCATGATACATCATATTATTCTATTCGATTTGAGAGATAATGTCAATTTTCAATTTCTGAGAATTTTGATTTCTCATGCTCTCTCTAAAATTCTCATCGTGTGTTCAATAGATGTAATTCAATGTTCGTCGTGGCAAATAGCCAGAAAAGTAATTGTTTTCTGTTGAATAAACCGAGAAAGAAATAATATGCTCATCACATGGAGAATGCGAATATTCTTTATATATATATCCATTTTTTATTGTGTTCATAAATATATCTGAGAATATTACTTTTCAATAGAATAGATTCAACCAAATATTTGTGAGATTTTTCTACCGAATTATTTCGACTTATTCATAAAAAGAAATCTCGATTCGAATGGATATTCCTATTACGTATTGGTCGAAGAAAGAATCATTCAGTTAGAAACAAGAAAATCCTTCCATTGTCAAGTTATTCTCCCATCATATTTGAACAATTTTGTTCTTGCAGCAAGAACATTCGTGCTTGTCATAACTAGATGAGATCTCATTATTAAAAGTGAAAATTCTTGAACTGTGAACAATCAGAGCTATATTGTGGATAATGAGAAGGAAAAATGATAAAAAAATACAGTGCACTAGCTCAATCTATCATTCTTTCTCAATAAGGTTTCATGAGCTCGTTTGTTCATTTACCCTTTGCTTATATATCCTTAAACCCCCGATAATTTCGGAAATTCATCTTTCAAAGAACATGAACAATAATAAAACTGAGAATCAAATCTCGTTACGACACTTGCTACCAGTTGATTAGTTTCATCATCTCCATGTATGGTTATGCGTGGGTTGACCATACGCATCCTTTCGAAATACTTCCAGACACAAAATAATTAAAGCTGATTCAAACATTCTTGAAACCGTATTATACTCAAATCGTAAATATCTTCTAATCATCAGACAAATTGACAGCGAAAATAATTCCAAAATATCTGCCCATCTACAAATTAAACATGTACGACATCAAACAGACATTTCTAATCAGCTCTGTCGAATAAATATTCATAGGTCTACATCGTTCCATTCTAATTAAAATCACCAAAACAGTTACCGGAGGATGATCATTAATCGATCAGCAGGACACTAATGACTCAATCGATATTCAAATGACGCATCCGGAAAAACAATTCGCCGACATCTTTTCCATCCGATGAACTTGTTACTTTTTGCAGACACGCCCTGATGGAATATTCACGACAGTTGGCGAAGGTTCAATTATTCTTGTTGTTTTGGGTTACTTGATTCGATAGGGCCACGTTTAAATGATTATTATTTCATGTTCGGAAGTTGTTTGTTCTCTGTGTACTCTTGTCTGAAAATTGCATGCTATCAGAGCATAATTTGAAGGAAAATGAGGAAATATCACTATTCCAGATTTATTTCGGGTTCTCTCTCTTCGTCTCTATGAAATAAGAATATGAATACTATTCTAATATACGTGTAGTTAGGACAAATCAGATGATTCGCCTCAAAATGTCACTGCGTTCAAAGAATTTTCCAATCAGAGAGCCTGAAAGAAAAAAAATCACCAACTCATTGTCAGTGACAATTTGTATGAAAAAGGTGTGGAAAAGAGGAATAAAGGTATATATAGAAAAAGTATCACATTTTTACTTATCTTTGGACGTTTCGGGAACGAATCTGTTCCTATTGAACAGAAATAGAAATATTCCCAAATATTATTGTGAATATGAAAAAATATATATGCATATAGAGAAATACATTGAGAATTCGCATTCTCTATGTGATGAAAATATCAATTCTTCCTTGGTTTATGCAACAGAAAACAACTACTTTCCTGGCTATATGCCACGACGAACATTGAATTTCATCTATTGAACATATACACGATAAGCATTTGAAAATGAAATATTCTGAATTGGAGAATTTGCATTCTCATTCATATATAGATATTCACATATCATTCTGAATGATAATGAAAAAAACAGAATCTGTTTCCGTTTCCAACATAAAAAATGGATTTGTTGTATGGCCAATTCGTATTTTCCCTGACATTTTTTAGTTCTCAGTGACAATTGATGACGTTGGAAATCAAATGAGTTACAAGATCTCTTCATTCATTAATCTTGAATTTTCCATTTTCATTTGCAGTAGTGAATACCATGTTCTACCATTATCAACTGAACAGGAAGCAATGCTATTGTCTCCGTTCAGAAAAATGCAAGCAGATTCCTTGATTTTTCAGTTCTGTTGTTATCTTCTCTTCCAATTTTTTGGCAGCAATTCTCGAATGAGGATCCAATAACTTGGTGGAATTCAATGCAATCAAAACACAAGCATTCCTTTCCTCTAGAAAAGCCGATATCACTGTTCTCAACATGAGCTTCTCAGAAGTCATCATACCTTCGAAGACATCCATTTCGATGCTTGGTATTACTATCAGCAATAACCTTTCTTGGGAAAATCACGTGAGATCAATTGCTAAAAGTGCATTTCAAAAACTTGGTTTTCTGTTTCGGGCAGGAGCTTTCTCACTTCCAGTCAGTTGCTGATGATAAGGCACAGATCTGACCTGCCCTGGAATACTGCTCCCATATTTGGAGTGCAGTACCTAAACATACCCTGAAACTGTTGGATTCTGTCCGAAAAAGGGCAATACTTCTCGTGGGTGATGCCTCGCTCACAAACTCACTCACTTCTCTGGAACACCGTAGAAAAGTTGGCGATCTGGCTCATTTTTTGAGATATTTTCATGGACATTGCTTTTCTCAAACATCAACAATTGTTCCTCCCTTGGCAGATTTCTCGCGAGATTAACCCGTCGAGTTCAGGCTTCGCACCCCTTCGTGGTCACTTTGTAGACATGCAGAACATCTCACTTCAAAGACTCGTTCATCCAACAAACATCGAGGCTATGGAAGACATTGCCAAGAAAGGTTTTACTCAAGGCATATAACCTCCAGAATTTCAAGAAGAACACCAATTCCTACATTATTTCCCTTGGTTCTCTTGATGTTCTCTGAATATTACAGAATATCCCTTTTCTTGGGAACCAGAACATAAAAAAAAATTCATGCGCGAGCTATTTCGGCACATTTCAAAAACCCATTAGAGTTTTTTTTTATAATGGCATTTAGAAGCGTCACTTTCCTGTACATATTCATATATACATTTATAAATGATGTTCAATTATTTTCTTGTTATTAATATCATTATTATTAATATAATCATTATTATCATCATTGTCATTGACTTTCTTTTCACCTATTTCTGATTTTCGATCTCCTTTGACGTTCACTGTTTAGTTATAGTCTGAGATCTGGTTAGTATAATAAGCATGACAATTATTAAAAAGTTATTCAACTAAACATGACAAGGGTTGAGTGGAAGAAGTAGCGAGCTCCTCCTTGAGATTTCTGAACTGTTGCTTCTACTAGAAAGTAGTAGTAACATTGATATTTCGAATGGAACACCCTGAATTTTATCGAATTCTTAGATTCTCCTTGAAGAGCTGATTTCATCGATGTATCACACTTGGGGTCTATTGGAAATGATTACAGAGATATAGTGTGTTCAAAATCGAGATTTTTCAACTTTATAATTTTTTCTGGCCGAAACTATTCATTATCGGTCAAAACGGCTCACATGTCCCTATCTCAACTTTTGATTTGCTATTCACAGATATTTAATCGGAACAGATATAGGGTGGTTCAAGATTCAGAATTCTGATCACCATGGATCTGGTCTGATTAAATATCAGTAAATAGTAAATCAAAAGTTGAGAAATGGTCATGTGAGCCGTTTTGGCCGATAATGGATAGTTTCGACACAAACGAATTCGAAAGTTGAAAAATCTTAATTTTGAACACCCTATATCTCTGTAATCATTTCCGATAGACCCCAAGTGTGATGTATCGATGAAATCAGCTCTTCAGGGTGAATCTAAGAATGCAATAGAATACAGGGTATTCTATTTGAAATAACATAGTCGTTGCTACTTTTCGATAGAACCGGCAACACTGCATTGATGAAAATATTTCGAATGAAGAGAGCGTATTCTAAAATATAAGCATGCATATTCTCATGGTTTTCTCCCGACTGATTCTCGATATAGAGATAGTGTAAGCTCGTCGTGACATAACCTGTATACACTCGGCAAACAAAAATAATTTCGTTCCTCTAGGCCGAGTGAATCATTGGAGTATATAATATTTTCAATGCTTTTTTTTTGTTTCAGATTGACGAGCGCTACAGTGTCCTCTACGATTCACGTGCACTTGCTTAAAACCTAATCTATCTATTTTTGAACGAAGAAAGAGATAGATTTTGCTTCATTTTCTCATTCAGAGCAGCAAAGTCCATCAAAATCGATATACTATTGTTGAAGAGATTGGAGCTTTCAAGTGTTGGTGAAGAAGGGACTATAGAGACTACAGTGTTGAACATGAAAATATCAAAAAGGTTTTATTCTGAAAGTGGAATCAAAAATATACATGAAACAGGGGAATACCCTGATAAGGACATAAGTAACAGGGATTCCGATGACTTCGACGCCGATCCACATTACCAGAAAGAATCGGAATCATATTATTGTCTTCATGATGATGCAATGCTACGGGATAGTGCTTCCATTTCAAAACCCCAACCGGATAGAGATAGGATAACTCCATCACTCCAATCCAGAGGTAACACTAGGTCTCCATCACTCCAATCGACAGGTTCCACCAGGTCTCCATCACCCTAACAAAATACAAATATAGCCAGTCAGTCTTCATCATCGCCTCAACCAGATAATGATATATCCGACAATATTTCATGGACCGATCCAGTAGGTAATCAGAAAGTATTTCAGTTTACTGGATCCAGTGGAATGGGTTTCAACATCAGTGGTATCATGGCGTTGGCAGACCCAAAAGACTACTTTGAGGTCTTTCTTTCTACGTAACTTTCAGATAAAATTGTAAATGAGACGAATCTTCATGCAAAACAGGTTTTATGAGAAGGTGGCGATGCTCCCATGTCCGATTTACATGACTGGACTCCTACACATAGTAAGGAGATGATTGAATTCATCGGTTCTTTAGGATGGATGGGTCTAGTCAAAGTTGCCATATTGGCAGATTATTGATGCCGAAGCGAGCTATATGTATTCCAACTTTCATGAAATACCATGCCACGAAATAGATATTATGAGTTATATTGCTCAGATTCGGGCACTTCGACGATAATCAGGAAACTGAACAGACCAATCCGCTAAGTGAAATAGAGAGTATTCTAAACAGTTTTCAAAGGACATATACACCAGCGCAAAAAATGTGTATTGATGAAACTCTGAAACCCCAGAGAGGGAGGTTGAGTTTTCGCCAATACATATATACCCTCCAAAAGACATTGTTCATGTTTCAAGTTTCAAGTTATGAATCGATGGGGGTTGCACCAGAATCTTGTCGGTTTGAACTGGCGAAGATAAAGTCGAAGACTTACATGTGTCTGCTCCTCAAAACGTAGTGATTGAATTGATTGGAGAACTTTTGAATAATAGTTGAACATTGTTATTCGACAACTTTTATACAAGTGTACCCTAAGCTTGTGAATTGCTCTCTCATAATTCCTACGTTGTGGGCACTCTCCGCAAGAACCGAAAATATATTCCTTCAGAACTGAAATTCCACGATTGAAAGAAGTTCAGATCATACCTCAAGAATCCGCTGATGGATTGCCACTACTGAAATGGAAGGATAAAAGAGACGCGATGATGCTGACCACCACTCACAAGGGTTCAGATAAGCATACTCCTACTTCAAATACTGGGAGAGGAATTGTGAAACCTGTATGCGTTTTTGACTATGATGCCTGAAAATCTTCGTTTGATGTAAGCTACTAATTATCATTATAATATAACACATTCCTACAGAGGTCGATAAAATGGTTCCAAAAAGTAATGATCGATATTTTGTGGAGAACCAGTCTCGTGAATGATAACTCCCTCTATTGAGAAAATTCGGAACACTCTACAAAATTGACAATCACGCAATTCAGAGAGGGTGTTATACAATCGCTCCTCAGTCCTGAAAAAACAGTCGAAACCAAGAGAAAAATCTATCATTTGGTTCAACATCGTCAGAATGAAAGGGGTCGGTGCAACGAATGCTATGAATTTCTTTTCAAACATACTGAAGTGGTGAATAAATAAAGAAGAAGGCTACACAAGTGAAAACTGTGTGCGATAAGTGTGAGCGGAAGCCATTTTTTTGCAGAGAATGTTTCATTGTTGTCTTTGATTATTTTGTTTCAATGTAGTTTTTAATGCCATCGAACTCATTTTTGTGTTTATACTATCACTTTTCTTGTATTCACATAAAATTATTTCACTGAAATAAGTATTTGTTCCATAACTGAACACTTTATGCTGCCCTCATGCTGCCAGGCTGCAGAGACCATAAACTAATGCATTTTTCAATGCCGGTGTATTACAGTGAGAATACACCGCTGTTCAGACAGAATAATAGTGCGTGTATCATTTAGAATACTTCTGGCATATGGAAAGCACTACCTGGTGTATCATCAATAATACACCCGGCAGCGAATGTGCACATCATCAAAATACTGAGAATTTGAAAAATGAAATATTGTCAGATTGAAAATAAGAATGTCGTAGAATCAGACTCCTCATATTTCGAAGGCTTCAATCATTTACAGAGAACGTGTATTGACGTAACCGACTAGAACCCTACTCAAATCATGATATTTCTGTTTCTATGGAAGTTATTGTCACTAACAGACTTCCCAACTTCCTTTTCATCAAATACACTAATGATTGTTTCCTATGAGAACAAAAGCGTTGCGTTGCCGTGAAAAAGCTCACGCCGAGATACAAAAGTTCGCAATCTTCCACAAAATGTCAAACATGTTTGTTCATTATTGCTGTTGGCAATAATTGGAATCGCAAGATATACGAATACACTCGCAGAGGAAAAAAACACCGATATATCTATCTTAAACGCTATGTCACATGATATAGATCGTATATGTTTTATTGAAACGAATAATAAATATATTTTCTAATAATTTTCATTCGTGTAGCGTATAGCTACAAACAAAAACGCTGATTCAGCCAAATTATAGTAATTGAAGAGTCGAAAGTCGTCAAGAAGCCTATTGACTGCTTCATATGTACTTAACTTGCTGAACTCACCATATATAAACGAAGAGTGGATAAATTGATAAAAAAAGAGTCTCTTCAATGACATAACGCAATGTCTGCTCATTTCCAGGTTGTGACGATGATTTTTTGCATCAATCTTGTATTTTCTGATGAACAGCTATCAAAAAACTGTAAATTGTGGCTATGATGAGCTTCAATCCTCACAAACCAAAAGTCCTATAATATGATACAAGTTAATCATGGGAAATATTTGAAATAGAGAATTTACTCACGAGGGAATGGAAAAACATTATAAAAAGGGTCAGGTTGATTGTGAAGAGGCCCTGTGTCTCTATGAGGACGTACATAATCGAAATTTATTGGCAAAACCCATTTTTGGAAAATACTGAGAATACGGTGGAGTCAAATAATTACTCAAAACAAACCTACATCATAAGGTGATGGAGGACAAGTGGCGTTCTTATAGTAATGCGCAAAACACAAGTTCTGTGATGACAAGACACATATGACAGTGACAATGTCAACTGTCAGTAGATAAAGAATAGTGGACGACCAGAAGCACCACTCGACCTAAAACAATGAGGAGATACCTAGATACATAAATTTGAATGAACATAGAGGCGGGTAGTGGAGATCAAAGCAGGAAAATGATTTCCAAACTGAAAGATTCTTCGAAAAGATCATCACCATCGAAACCCTACTGGTTCAACAAAAACTGTTCTAGAACTGTTGCCTTGAAACAAACAGCCTGCCATCGCTGGCGCAAAAACCCTAATCTCGCGACTAGAGCAGAATACGTTGATGCCAGGAATAACTGCAGCCAAACAATAGATGCTTCGAAAGAAACATTCAATGCAAAGAAAAGATAGAAACTCATAGATTGTCCCAATGACTCCCGTTCGTTATGGTCCCTTGCTAAAGCTTTCGGAAGAAATTTCACTGATAGTTCATTTTCACCACTGTCCAAATCCGACGGCACATTAGCAACAACATCGCAGGAAGAAGCATATAAATTTGCAACGTCCATGGTGCCGCCAGACATTCCACCCGATGGGAGTAGAATGCCTGAAAGCGTCTTCCGTCAACGCACTATCAGACGAATTTTACTTGGTCTCAAAACGAATACGGCTAACGGTCCTGATGGAATTCTACCCATTATCCTCAAAAAATTTTGCTCCAAAATTATTAACACCGATTCTCTGCGAGTTGTTTACCGTCTCGTACAGGTCGGGTATTTTTCCATCATGCTGGAAGACAGCTAGAGTCCAACCAATCCCCAAAAAAAGGAACGAGAACCTGCCCAACAACTACAGGTCCATCGCCCTGTTATCAGTAATCTCCAAAGTGATGGAGAAAGCCATCAATATTGAGCTTATCAAATATCTGGAGAGCTCAGGAATCATCAATGATAGACAATACGGCTTTCGCCACCGAAGATCTACTGGGGATCTACTCGCCTACGTCACCCATTTATGGCAATCTTCAATTGAAAAACACGGGAAATCTCTAGCTGTCGCGTTGGACATATCGAAAGCATTCGACCGTGTTTGGCATGAAGGACTCCTTCACAAAATACTATCATAGGGCTTACCACCTCAGCTATGCCATCTCTGCTTATTGAGTTTTCTCTCAGGCAGATCGCTTCAAGTGGTGGTGGACGGTGCATCGTCTGATACCATTGGCATCAATTACGGCGGTCCACAAGGATCAATTTTGGCACCAACATTATTCCTTCTCCATATCAATGATCTGTTGGGAGTGACAACTTGCCACATCCACAGCTTTGCAGATGATAGCACCCCCCATACTACGGTCTCTTCCAGAATACCCGTTTCTTCCCAGGAATCTAAGAATTGACGGCGGAACTCAGTATGCCCGATATTGTAATGTCTGTCACCACCATCTCCACCAAGCCCACCATATCTATGCTAGGTATTTCCATCAGCAACACTCTTTCATGAGATAATCATGTCAGATCCATCGCAAAAGCTGCTTCACACAAACTCTGATTCTTGTTCCGTGCGAAAAGCTACTTTACACATCAACAGCTTCTCATGATCTACGAAGCGCAGATACGGCCTGTTCTAGAATACTGTATCCACATATGGCACCAAAACATA